TCCTAAGAGTCGCCAGTTTAATTTACAAGTTTCACGCCGCTTTTTTATATCTGTTTATATTCAAGATTATGTAGAAATTTACTTGCTGACGTGACGCCGGCGCCATTTTTTTTACAAGATTCCGCAGGCCCTCGCCAGATCGTGAGCTTTCCATGACGCAACGCGGGCCTGCGGAGGAGGCAGGTGTAAACACGGGCCTTAAGCCTGGTTCACACTGGTCGTAATTCGTCGGCGATCTATTGTATTCTTTTCCGACAGACAAAGCATTTTACACAGCAATGACTACAGACAATGGAAATCCCCGATTCTTACGACCAGTGTGAACCGGTTAACACTATTTTCCATCCAGCAAACTGCCCTATCGATTTTCTAAAGTTGTTTCTTTTTGGATTTTTTTATTAATTCGGTTAGGGTTAGGGTTAGGGTTAGGGTTAGAGTTAGTGTTGCAGTTAGGGTTAGGGGTTAGAGTAGTAGGGGTAGGGTTTGCGTTAGTTATATAGCCATTTAACACCTTTTCCATCTTCCGAAAATGACGTCAGGTCAGTTTGTTGGATGGAAAATAGTGCTAGCCGTGTGAACCAGGCATTATTTTCTAAGAAAAGAAGAAGAGGGAAAAAGCCGCGTCGCCGCGCCAATTCTGGACGAACTTGCTGTCCAGAAACATAATTGCTGGAGGCGTGGTAACCCCATAGATCCTTGGTTTAGAGTGTAATATAGCGAAGTCTTGCGAGTCCATTGTTTCTTAACATAGGTTGAGAAAAGGCGTATTAGAGCCTGGTTCACATTGATCGGCGATGTTCTACGATCCATTGTCTGTGAGCAACGAAGAAGAAAATGCACAAAACATTTTATGCATCAATGACCACCGACAATGGGCATCGCCGATGTTTACGATGAATGTGAACCAGGCTTAGATAATGAAGTATAAAGGTGTCTGGCATGAATGAAATAGAAAGAGGCGCACTGCAGAATTCCCATCGAATTTTCCAAGTCAGGTTTTCGATGATTTTGTTCAGTCGATAGTGTTAAACAAAACGTGTGAATATTTTAGGAAACGAAATACTGTTGGTCAAAGAATCCAAGCTAAAGCCGAGGAAGCAGCGAGAAAGGCGGCTGAGAAGTTAGCTACGAAATATCCCAATAGCAATGTAAGTAAGATTAATCTTGATTAATTTTGACTTATTCGCTCGCCATAATCAAATACATTATTACAACACTAGATCAGCAACGAACTATCGCACCCACACTTGTCGTACAAACCTCAAAAAATTTACAATACTTTATCAAGGACCAAAAATTTGGAATTCTCTGCCAACAAATATAAAAGATTCACTTAGCCTCTATAGTTTTAAGAAAACTATGATGGAATTTCTACTTAATTAGTTTGTGCCGCACAAATGCACTACAGCTGTGAGTTAAATATCTATTATTTTCTATATCCCTATATTTTCTATATAAGCATTATTCAGTTATATTAATATCTTGAGGTGATCTCAAAATAAGCCTAATGGTTTCATGAGGTCTCCTCGCCACTTTATTTATATTCTTCAAATTTATGTAAATTTTAATAATACGATGTGTGTGGCAAATAAATCATTCATTCATTCATTCAATCAAACAGTCATTGTAGGAGTAGATTTTGCAATATGGAGCTATCTGATTGTAGAGGGGTTTTACTAGATGGAATTTTCGAACGTGAATATTCATATATTTATTAGACTTAACCAGGCCAGTAGTTGCGAACAATGCAACTATAGATCCTCTGGCAGAAATCGGTTCCGGTTCAGCGCTGTAACCGACTGAGCTACAGAGGCCAGTTGTCGAGCAGGGCTCGAAATACGTTTCCAACGTTCCCGATCATGCTGATAAGCAATCATGATTTTCTGCTGATCAAATGAAAATCTGGCCAATCAGGCCAAAAAAACATATGTGGGTTTCCGGTTTCCCGACCCTACCTAGCTTTTGGACGCCAAAATCCCGACCCTAAACTTTTTTATTGGATCACGCTTGTAAGTGTTTCCACTTAGAGGAAAAAGTTTGTGGAAAATGAAAATTTGTGGCAATATTAGGGAAATTTATGTTTGGATATGGAAACACTGACTAAACAAAATGGCGTCCGGTTGTTAGCCGGAAAATTTTTAAAAAGTTCAAAAAAAAAGTTAAAACCAACCTTGAAAAGGAAACAAGAGGAAACCGGAAACCCGCATATTTTTTTTTGGCCTCAGTATAGGTTCTGTTTATATGTTCTGTGATAATACCGTAGTATTGCATGGTGTCTGTTAACGACATTAACCATGTTTTTGAGACGATGGTTCTTGCCGATCAAGATGATCGACAATCTTGCTTCTCTGCCGATCAAAAGCAATTTGCTACCGATCATTGATCGGCCGTTATTTCGAGCCCTGCCGAGCTGTATATATCTCAAGTTCATGTTTATATACCGGGTGTCCCCCAAAAAACGGGACACTGTTTTATTTCATGTAACGTAAAAGCTATATATAAAAGCTATCGCAATGGAATAAAGATCATTCCATTCAGAAAGGACTACAACTTAGATTTTGATATATAACACTTGAATTTACATGCAATATTGAGCGAGATACAACTAAAATAAAAATATTTATTATTTAACAAGAAAACTACATCGGTAATTATAAGGTTGTTTTATGCTAATTTTTGGCATTTTCAAAAATAGTAGTTCAATGTTCAAACATCAATAGCGCAGTCAATATTGCATGTAAATTCAAGTGCTTTATATCAAAATTCCATCTAAAAACAATCTCGCCTTGTGTGCATATCATTCCTCCGCCATTTCTTTGATTGAAAGCTGTCGATTGTCAAGATGAGTAATATTCAATACATTATTATTGTTAGATTGGGTTCTTACGTAAAGATGCTGATGGTAACACAAGCTTGGCCATACTGAACCCTTGTTCTGTCGATGGTAAGACTCCTTGCTCATCTTTGCACTATTTGCCTGCTCCCGAAAGAAACAGTTTTATTTTCCCAAGAGTTTCAATGGTTTAATTGAGATTCGGGGCAGGGCTGTCTCTATAGGGAGGGGGAGGGGAGGGAGGGGTGTGACACATCCTAAAAACATTTTGTCGGCAAAATAACGGATTTATCGGCGAATTGTTTTCGTAGTCAGCGAAAATATTTGAGTGGCTCGGATTAAAACGTAATAATTATAGCAAAAATGTTGATAAATTTATGAAAATCTTTACGAAAAAGTTAGCAAATTACGGTACATTAATTAGAATATTAGTGAAAAATGGTATGTAACACCTTCCCCGCTCGCTGGGAAAAGAAATATTAATTAGCGACTGAAATGTTGTCGGCAAATGCGATACTACACCCCCCTGCATCTTCGCTACGGCGGTGTGAAATTTGGTTGCATAAGCACTTTTAGAAGTCAGAGTAGCGAGCGAAAACATGACTGATTTAGCACCTTCGCCTTCTTATTCCCTTTCCTTTTTTCAGCCACAGCAGGACCTCAGTCAATTCCAGTGAATCTTGGCGCAGTTACTGGCAAGCTAGCAACAGGAAGTCTTTCAACTGTTTTGTTTCAAGAAGACAAGAAAAATAAAGCATCACCAGGTATAGTCTATGAGCTCTGAAACTTTCTGCGCAAGAGAAGCTTTCTGTGTATGTACTGACTGTCTTGTGGTTGTTTTCAGTCAATTATTTAAAGTATGGACCATTCAGTTCATTTTCACCCTCGTTTGATTCGTCCATGGCAACGATCACTAAGGAGGATTCAGACCTACTTTACAGTACATATGGGGATAGTACGGGTGCTTATTATGCTCAGAGGTACGTTTGCTGTTGCATTATATTTCTTTCTCAAAGACTGAATCTCTCTTTACCAAGGATAGTAACAGCAAGTTCCTAGACAGGATTATGTATACAGAAGTGTGACTAAGGGATTGCTTTATCGAAGTTATTAGAGAGGTTTAGATTCCTAGCTCAAAATAACGGCCAGTCAACGGACAATGACCGGCCAAAAATGCCTCTTGACCGGTCACTTTATTACCTCACTAGTCATTTTGACCGGCCACATTTTCATGCCTTCCAATGTGATTGCTGACGTCTTGAATTAAAACATGAAACTATGATGTATCGAAACAAGTTTCTAATAGTTTGTTTCACTGTTAGTGTAAGCGTATCAATGACTGGTCAAAAACAGATTTTGAACCAGCTAAAATCAAGTTGACCGATCATTTTGACCGGAGACCTGTCTCCCGTTATTTTGAGCCCTGAGATTTGACTTCCACTACCGCTGCCTCACTCACTACGCATGTGATTGATTATTAACCTGGTTCCTTGAAGTTCCTTGACCATATTTTGATCATTTTTTAGTCTTCAAGCATTCGTAAAAGACAATCTGTTCGCGAAAGATTATGTAGATCATGTATTGGACGCACTCACAGATGGCGCTCACTCAAAACTCATGAACAAACTACAAAAGGTAAGCAAGGATGAAACCAGGTATAGGGGTGCTCATCGAGCCGTCATCACTCATCGTGCTTTAGGGTACGACCAAGTGCATATCACAAAAGGGAGTTACGGAGGCAAGGCACTACTCTGTAGTCTTGCTTGACCATCTGACACAGTCATGTTACTATCTCGTTTTGGCTTTTTTTATCTTTGTTTGTAATTGTCTTCCAAATCCCAAAAATGATAAGAAATATTTGACAAGAAAAGTGACACTCCCCCTTGCACCACTGCCCACCCCCTCCCTTTGCCAAGGCTAAGAGGGATGTGCACCTCCCCCCACCGCTTCCCCCCATCTCTTGCACTCTGTACCTGCGCTTGAAAAACTCATGTAAGTGGAGTCGTGGTTGATTGTTATTGTCTTCTGTTCTTCGAAAGTTTCTCTTCGGAGGTTTTAATTCTGTTCCTCACTAAAATAAAATAAATTATTTTTCCAGCAACTTGAGGAAGAAGAAGAAAAAGAACGCAGCAAACAGGAAAACCTGAAAGCAATCAAAAAAGAAACTGAGGTGAATTAGGAATAATATATTCAAATCTGTAGCCAGGAATCCCAATATTTCCTCTTGAGCTTACAAATCAATTAAATCGTTTCAAGAATTGGACACGTCCTGACAGTAGAAGTTCCGCTATTTGCTATTCGAAAAAGAGTATAATTAAAAATGAAGTAACAGCACTGTCACAACTTTGTTGACAAGCTTGCTACAAGCCTGTTGCGAACACATCGTAATGACAAGTTGTGAGATTTTTATGTGTGTACCCATTTCACGAACGATAACAGATAAGAATGTGGGACTATGTAGACTGTTCCAGAGATGAATGTCACACTCTTGCTTTTGTCCTCATCACTTTATCAGTGTAGCAACGCCATGAACAAGTTATTACTCAAACAGTAATGACGACAGCAAGCAATATAATTCTCTATATTATAATGTTTTTACAGATTGTTGAGGACAAAAAAAAGTCTACAGAATTATCAGGTGTGTTACATATAAGGACAAATAGAAATGGCATTTTTTTATAATCCTGTATATAATTACTGTATTTGATAAAGTTTTCGTCTTCAGTGCAATATCGGAAAATATGCCGATAAAGATCTAGATTTTGTAATCGAGGTTTTGCAAATAAATGAACGTAGTGCATGTACTCCCCCAAAATAAAGCAATTATATTTATTGCTTAACAAAGTTCATATTTTCTTTTCTAAAGATTCTGATCTAGATGGTCTGTTATCGTTGGAGAAGGAAGGCATTGACATGTCATTTTTAAAACCTAAAGGTATTGTTAAAATGACTACAGTTTATAGAAATAACACATTAAATATTATTGTTTTGCAGTGGTGGATTTAGGGGGGGCGGGGGGGCGCACCCCCCCAGGCTCTGGTCAACAGGGGTGCATGGGGGGGGGGGGGTGCAAAAATGACGTTTATCCTAATTCTAACCAACTTATGTTAAGGAATTCAGTTGCGTATCACCAGTTGACAATAGCAGAATAGCCAATATTAAATATTCTGAATTTTTAAATGTTTTGAGAATCTAAAAATTTTCAGTATGTTTTCTCAGAATGCTGGAAATGCCATTTCAGAGACCCAAATTTTTAAAATTTTCCAGGGGAGTATGCCCCCGGACCACCCTAGAAATCTCGCGCCTTCGGCGCTCGTTTCGCCATTGGTTAGCACCCCCAAAAAAAACTTTGCTGGATCCACCACTGTTGTTTCGTCATATATTAATAATACTTCATTTCATATTAGTAACTTGTCACTGTCCTATGTTTTCTAGAAACAATCAAGTCTGAAGAAGCAAAGTGAGTTGACCAAAACACACCATGATTACAACCAGAATTGATCCTCTATCAGTTCTAAAGCTTGCCTGTAATAAAGTTTTCAATTTTTCAGTTTCAATAAAGTTTTTTCAGTTTCAATTTGTAATAAAGTTCATGATTTGTTCTGTGTTGGTGTACTCAGGTGAATATGATGTTTGTGATGTTACTCTGAGTGTATATCCACACCGGGCAAGCTTGCAAAATATGCCTGACCACGGTGGGAATCGAACCTACGACCTTTGGAATACCAACCCTATGCTCTGCCAACTGAGCTACGCGGTCAGGTCGGTTCGAGTATGCGATATTTCGGAACTGAGTCTAGTTCCTTCGATATCAATGTAATCTAGTAATCATGATATGGTGCCATATGCGACCAGGTCTCGGACCTGCTATTTTTGGGCGGCAAACCGAACACTCCTAAAGGCCCCTTTTCCACTCGGGAAAAATTTCCACGGACAGAAAATTTTCCGAAAATAGCATTGTTAAGAATTGAAAATTTTCAACTTCAAAATTTTTTTCCCACGGAAAATTTGTGTTGGCCAATCACATTTTACAAAATTTTCTTTCTGCGGAAAATTTTCCTGAGTGGAAATGGGTTCTTGAAACAAATAATATGATGATATTTCTGATTACATAACTTCATGTTATTTTTCAATCACAGGGATGTTCAAACAAATCTTGACAAAACAGCTGATCTCATAAATAAACTGGATGCAGCGCAATCTGAGAGATTGAGTCAAGCCAGTAAAGATGCTAATGGAGCCACGCCAAAGTCAGCTTTGACACCATCAGAGAACGAACAGCAGATAGGTTAGGCCCAACATATTTTTACATTATAAATACTATTTACAACATAAGCGGGAAACGCGAGCCGAAGGTGCATGAAAAAAGTCTTGATGAGAACATTCGTATTCTTCAACAATTTAAAATAAATGATATTTGGTGAGAAAGTTTATGTATGAATCAGCATGATTTTGTATCAGACATACAAACTCCTCCATGGTCATGATTTATTTTGTGGTTTCTTCATGAATTATTAACGAGTTTCACAACTACTTGAAATCGTTTCAGGGCATGAAATATTCATAATCAAACGAAATTGGTATATAGTATTTGAAACAGGCAAATAATCTCGAGACTCAACAATATTTCAATTGTTTATTTCTTAAAACAGCTGAAAAAGTGACTCAAGAATTGAGAAATTTAACATCGAAGGTATGAATGTACTAAAATCGTGTAAATAGTGAGTTTTAGATTTGACTACCGCTACTATTTACTGACTAAGTATGCATGCGATTGATTAATCGAGTAGAATTAAACGCGTCTGATTGGTTAATGATCCCTTGATGGCAACGGTAGTGGTATAGTGGAAATCAAATCTAAACCTGAAGGACCGGTCATTATTTTTGGCGAGGGGGGGGGGGGGCACCGAAGAGAAAAGGGTTGGGTAAACAAAATATTGAGTGAGTAAAAAGTTGGGTAAATGAAAAACAAAACAACTCAAGGGTTGGGTAATATACAATTACTTTATGGTTTCCGTGTTTGGATGGCCTGATCCAAACACTTAGGAATGTTGCGAGCGATTTTGCGCGCTTTTCTTAACTCTCATTTCTTAACTCTCATTCCCATGTTTAAAATTCCCGCGAAGGCACTTTAAATTTCCGTGTTTGGATGGCCTGATCCAAACACAGGTTTCGACCAATCAGAGCACGCGTTATATACATGTTATTTTATAATAAAAATGTATTGTCATTTCCATGACTCGCTCAAATATTGAAAACTAAAAAGCAATGTCAACAATCATATGTCAATGTACAATATGTAAATCATCCAGAGTCCTTATCTTGATCATTTTCCGATTTGTCAGAATTATATATCGAGTGAGATGCCTAAATTCCTGTTATTTGCTCATACACATTACATTGGCATCACCTTAGTATTTATACATGAACTTGTGGTTAGAGCTCGACAACTCTCTCTGTAGCTCAGTTGGTTAGAGCGCTGCACCGGAATTGCAGGGCCACAGGTTCAATTCCTGCCAGAGGAGCTATACCTGTCGCGTTTTAAGGGGAGTTACTACTTTTAGACTTTTGTAATTTTGTATTTTTTAAAATTTTAAACTTAACCTTTACCCTTGCTCTAATCTTAATCCTAACCCTATTCTTTCCCTAATCCTAAAAGTCTAAAAATAGTAATCGTATGTATAGACCCATTGCACATGACGTCACAGCGCCGGTGACGATGCATCTGGAGGACAAATTAGCAATCTATGCATAATATAACTTTTGTAAACAAAGCAAATTTTGTAAAACTTTATAATAATTTTGTATTAAAATGGTCAATTTTTGCGCTGTATGTGGTTGTTTTACCCGAACAGATATTGTTAGGGAGCATCTGGAGGACACTCTAAGGATTTGCGACGTCAGTGCAATGGGTCTATAGGGCTATAGGTCCAATAAATGTATTAAAAATTCCACCGTAGTGTAAACACAGTTCTGTGAATGATGTTATAGGTGAAGCCTAAAGATATAGTGGACAGTGAAAGTGTACGTAAGGCAACTGGTGTGGGTGATGTATCGGAAATGTTACGGAAAGGAAAGGAACAAGACGAAATGGAAGTACAGCTGGCTGCCGAAGCTATAGAAACTGTATTTAATGAAGCTGTATTTAATGAAGCTACCACTATGGAGGACCTTGACAAAGGTGAGAAGTGATGCACCGATATGAAAATGTACCGATATTTCGACAACCAATATTCAAGGGCCGATACTGATCACCGATTATTGAGTTCTTTTTGGAACTCGCGTATTATTCTTTAAATCGATGTCAAAATACGAAATTTCGGCACACTCCTTGCCAAGATGGTGGAAATTTAAAGGAGGTATTGGATGTCAGTTCTATTGTTTTTGTCTGCGCGGTTAACACGAAGCTGGCTTCACTTTTTGGACTTGAGTTCTCGCTCCAGACAAATATGCAGCTCATTATTTTGGAGCGCTCTCAAAAATGTGTTATAGACAAAATTGAGGTAAAAATGCTTGGTAAAAATCAAAACGGGACTACTTAATTGCCATAAACAAGAATTTAGAGATTTTGGCTCAAACTCTCTCTTATTTTAGCATTTTAATTTTTTGCCCCCCAATAGCCGCGTTCCCTTTCTTTGATTGAATTAAGATTACGATGCCCCCTCTAGTGTTATTTATGATCTCTATGATTCCGTGCGGCACTGATCTTTTCTTTGATCTCTTCCAGTGATATGTGAAGCGGCAAAAGAGGTTGAAGACGCTATGGGTCTGGATGTCTTAGATGAACTTACTGCTTCATTGGATGATGTAAAACGAATGGACGGCATGTAAAACTTTTATGATTTTATTGTTAATATATTTATTTATAATTTGATATATGGTGGATTTTTACAGTTGTCACAAGCAGCGGCGTTAGCCAGCCCGACGATTCAGTCCCGCTATGCAAATATTGCCATGTTTATATACTATCAACACAATAAATTTCTAAAGCAATGAATAATGATAATGAGTTGAAATTTGCATATAGCGGGATCAAATTGTCGGGCTGGCTACGCCACTGCTTGCAAGTTGAAAGTCCCCGGGATGAAAATCGATTTTTCAGTATGTTCACATGAGATCTGTACGAAAATCACAAATCTTCCAATTTATTCCTCTTGCTCGCCATTTTCTTTTTTACAGTGCTTTTGTGAGCATGCGTTGTTCCGAGGCCAAGGCCCAAGTGTACAGCCGAGACCGCTCTGAAATGTATTTGTGTTTACATTCATCCCGGGCTGACAATAGCGAGCGGGATGACTTCAGACCCGCGGGCCAAATTGTTTCGACGTAGTTTTCGTGTGACAATTATGTCACCTCCGCAACGTTGCTATTCAACATCTGACTCGTCCCCAGTCGTTTCTGTGAGCACGTGCGAATTGGAAAGCGCGCGCAGTGAGACGACTGGGGACGATTCAGATTCAACATGGCGTAAGTCTTTTTGTCCGACTTTGAATCCCCTTGACATTGATTGCGCAATGCGCAGGCGCCACCTATAATATATGCAAAACCTATAATATATACAAAACCTATAATATATGCAAAACCTATACTATATGCATAATGGAATGCAAAAGGCTGGTCTGAACATTCTATATAATCTTCCGCTGGAAATTTCCGTCTACAAAAACCCTTCATCCGGAAATGCGATCGCCGTTTAAATAAAAGAAGTTTGTTTAAATAGATAGCTTCCAAGCAACCCCACGAGACTTTAAAAGCAGATGGAGGGCAAGTAATGAGATGCTAATGAGATTCCTTTGTGTAAATGCCCTCCACGTGCACTGAACTGTGGCATGATAAAAGCCACCTTATAAGTCGCAAATAAGTCCGTTAATTCCAAATACCGAAACAAATTTTCCTTTAGCCGCATGGTTTGTATTCCCGTGGGCGGCACAAAAAGTATGTAATTAACTATGACAATGCCCACTTACTAACAAAATTACAACCTATAGATTTATAGATTTATAGAACACAAGAAGATCGATTCAAACATCATAATATTTGCATAGCTTTTAAAATACACGTTTTTCTTAGTTATGTATTTCGAAGCCAATGATCAAGCCAAATACTGTAATTTATGAAGAAAATTGGCCAATCATGCGTCTTCATTTTGATCACATGATGTTGTTTGAAACCAGGTCATGAGATGTCATTGCAAAACATTAAATTCAGAATGCATGGAATTTCAAGTCTGCTCAATGATCCAAGTTCAAAAATAAGTTGGCTTGGTATTTTATTGCCTATTGGCTTTATTTCGAGCTGTACTTCACAAAATGTAATAGCAATAAATATTTTCACATATAAGTTAAAGACTTTACACTTTTAAACTAGATATGAGACTAAGTCCATATTCCATATATTCTAAAACATCAAGTCTCTTGCTGTCCTTTAAAGAGTTATTACATATTAAGGCCATGTTACAAATTTTAGCGGCAATTCTCAATGCAAATAGTTACATTTACATGACCAATCCGATTTCTGCAATCTAATCAGATTTCGTGCAATCTCATTTGCATTGCGAATCATCGGTACAAATTGTCCCGTTTTACATCGCCTTTGAGTTAAATACAACTGCAAATTTATATCTACATTATAACATACAATAAGAATATATATATCTACAAACTTGAGTTTCTTATCAATTATATAAAACAGTCCACGATAGTCGATACGACTATGTTCACAACATGTGGTCACAACATTTTTAATTCCAAAGGCAAAGATTGATATTTATATTCGCTCGAGTTTATTTGCAATCTTTTATATACCAATTCAAAAAATTCGTTGCTTTTTTTTTCCGAAACTCATTTCAAGATTCTACAAGACATTTTTACAAATTGTATATATGGCCTGGTTTACACTGTCAAAGTTTCTATGATCACAGCTAAGAATTTTTCATCGTTATAGATTCTAAGTTTTGAAGGATTTGTAAGAAATGTTTGAGGGAACTCACTCAGTGTTGAACATTACGTCAGTTTGCTCAAACATTTCGTACAAATCCTTCAAAACTGATGCAAAATTCCTACTGTGATCACAGAAATTTTGACAGTGTAAACCACCAGCCTTTGATGCTAGATTTGCCAAAAAAAGGCTAACTATAGCCTCGTTTTGGCGCATTTGCGTAAAGCGCAGTGATTCGCTTTTATATGAAGGCGAACCAAATCATAAAAGGTTTCATTTTGACAATCTCTATGCCTATCGAAAGTAGAACTGTAAGACTTGCTCACGAAGATGCGTTTTCATATATTTGTCGTGAAATGTACTTATAGCTATAGTGCTCAGTCTGGGTTCTTAGTCTGAAAAATCTCGTGCAGTATTATCTGCTAAATTGTGTTTAATATATCGTCTTTGTTTCCGAATTCCTAATTACCAAATACTACAATATATAATGTCATTCACTTCAAGAACATCCTCTCGGAACTCAAAGGCACAAGATCAAAGCCTTCGCTGATATCTCTTCTTCAGAAAGTTTCTCGAACACCTTATGACCGTTGTCCTGGTAATCTTTGTAGAAAACCTCAGCAATGACCTCCATTCCGTAACGTTGAATGAGAAACTGTGCGAGCCTGTGCGACGTCATCAGGCAGCACAACGCCGCGCGTTCGTCGACGTGCCGAGCACGGAGTGTATCACAGGTATGCTCGATAATCCCCAGACTGCGATATTTTGGATGTGTTGCCGCATGCGATACGAAGACAATGCGACGAGTTGCGGAATACTCTTCTAGAATCGGTTCGGCTTTCTCATGGACTGTCCGCATTAGGTTGAGCCCGGTCCTACATAGCGGATCATCAAGTGTGGACTCTCCCTTATAAATACGTCCAGTGTACTTCTCTGCGAACATGACGCTGACCAGTTTGCTGGGATTGTTGTCCTTTACCGCGACGAAACTCAAGCCCTGTTCCACTTTGTTTAGCATGGATTTCTCGGAGAATAAGCTTTTAAATCTTTCCTCGATGAGGGGAATTCTGAGATTCAAAGATACGGCAGGGTAGTAAAGCTCGCCAAGGACATGCACAATCGGTTCGTTATTCGCGATGAAGGCGCGCGCGAGAAAGTCACGAATTTGGTTCAGATTATGTCGTTCGTCCAAAACTTGTAGTGAAATTCCACGAGGGAGTTGCCTGTTTTTCGCCGTTTGATCTAGAAGTGCTTGCATCGAACTTGAACTCCGTTGAACAAGCGATTTCCATTTCCTGCCACAGCGCGCTGCCATTGAAACTTTTGAAAGCATTATTCCTTGGTGTATGTATGTTACCGCCCAAAGCAAAACTTGTATATTTAGAGTTCACGAATCACCCTTAAAGATATTTTATAGCATGTAAGACGCAGGACAATGCTGAAATGACTGTGATTGCTGAATGTTTGCTAAATATTATGGCATTAACAGCATGAATGTGAAGTTAGCGTTTTTAATGGAAACCCGCTAAAGTGTTATAACAAAACACTGCTGTGAAAGCAGTACGAACAGCGTTAAGTAAAATACCTCCCTGGCAGTACCGGTGGGCGAGTTTGCGTTGTAGAGCGAATGCTTAACAAATTAACAAGTTAACAAAGCACCAGGGACGAATAACCGTGTTTCTGGTTTAAAAACTGTTACAGCAACTAAGATCTCAGTCATTTGCAATAAAATACATTGTATGCCTACTACGCCTGCCTCGAATCCACAGTTAAATTGATTATATTATCCCTATACGACCGCTATGTCCTTATATAAACAAAGCAGTAGGCCAAGGGATAAATATAACTGTACTTTAAATGAGGAAAATCATGCATACGAAGAGGAACCACGATTCTCAGTTGCTTGCAATGTAGTTCACCCTGAGCTTGATACATAGGCCTCTAATACAAAATCAATGGATTATCATCACCATTATAATTATCTATTAATTGCCAAAATCAATAAAAATTATCATTATTATTAAACTAGACTGAACATGCACGCCTAAAAATCTCACAGTTTGTCGACAAGATGTGTTCGCACTGCTTGTTGCCAGTTGTTGACAAGTCTTCAGCAAGTTGCTATCATCTTGTAACAAGGTTGATGAGGCCAACAGAGTTGTTCCTACAAGTCTGATATCGCCTGCACGTAACAAGGTGTTAACAAGTTGATGACAACAAGCTCGTAGCAACTTGTTACGAACAGCCTGTATTAGTGTTATTGGAACAACTTGTAGCAAGTCCTTAACCATCAATCTTGTAACAAGGTGATAACAAGTTCTTCCAGACTTGTCAAAACAACTGAAAAGAAGAAGTGGGAACACATCCTGATATCGGCATGACAACTACCTTGTTGCAACTTGTTCGCAGATCTGCATGCCCTTAGCTCTAACCAAAACTGATTTGTCAAAAATTTTCATTGAATGTATGTTGAGATATTTTTAAACACTCAAAACAAATAATGCGGAAGGAACATAATGTAGAACAATTAGAACATCATACACTCACTAATTGCTACTTTCATCTCTACTTTAAATAAGTTAATATCTGTTGCTTCCTCCTGTAGCTGACAAAGAACAGTTGTAATTATTAAGTTATTAAATTAGTTTTCGGTTTATTATTGAAATAAATTAATTAGTAAATAATTGAACGAACGAGCCGTGTATTACAATGACTAAATTATACAGGCTCAGGATTGCGAAATATTTCAATATCGTTTCCATAGTATCACAATACAAATGAAAGAAAACAAATTGCTAGCGTCCTCACGAGAAAATTCCTTCCATTGTGACCTCAACCTAAAAAAAAATTCTATTAAAGAAAACAATCAAAATAAATTGCTCGAGAAAATTTCCACTTAATTATCAGGTCCTCGCATATTGCAGAGAAAGGTTTCATCAGTGGTGGCGTAATCGATCAGAGCAAGCGCCTTTCGCCTCTGAGATCGTGAGTTCGATTCTCGCTGCTCATAACACTTATGTAAAAAGAGTCCATCGACGCTCTACCGAAAGTTGTAAGTTTTCTGTACTGCGGTCTCCCCCCACAGGGAATGTTGACAAGGTGGGTTGGAATTAGCTCCTAACCGACCCTTCCACCGTAGCTGCGCTCCGTGATCAGACACGACGATGCTGGCAGAGGCGCCCTTAGAAAGCTAGCATTCGATTAGATATCAGGTTGAGCTGCGTCCTTCGCAATTCAGCATAGCTCTCAGCTGCAAGTGAGGATGATTAACACCACCACCCCCTCCCCTTACCTAACCTTACCTTACTATCCGCAATTAATATGAATATTTGAATATAGGTTTTCTTATTTATTTTAATATATTTTTCCCGTATAAGATAAGATACTTTAAATTACGAGGAAAGCCTCATTACCCTGAGGTGGTTTTCACGAGGGTCCTCAAATTAGGGTCCTCTTATTACGTTAGAAAGCTAAGGGATATAACTTTTGACTCTGCTTAAACTAACGGATTTTTGTGGGATTCCGAGGAACTCTTTGACTTTGTTCGATAATATATTTACGAGCGATTTTCCGCTTTGGCACTTTGCACAGGTAAATTCTAAATCTACATGCATTTCCCAACGGATCTATGCTCGTATTCATAAACCGCCATGTTGGAACAAATGTTCGGAATCTGGAACTTTTTCGCGCGCTTCGTTGCAATTTACTTTTTTATTTTGCACGTTCAAAAATATTGAATGTCAAAGCCAGTAATCAGTATTATAAGCTTGCCATTGTAACGGGAAATAATCGATTCCCGGCATAACACAGCTGGTTATATGGGGGCGTGCTTTTAACAAGTCAAAGCTCTTATTTCTGCAGTGTTTACTGCCCATGTGGGGAGGCATTGATTTCAAAAGCCTTCTTTGGCTATTAACAGTGACATGGAGCCATGCTGATTTGAAAACTGTTGGGGCTTGGCAAACATTTGCTCAAACTATTAACCTAAATGAGTCATTGTTCTCCACTAAAAGCAGATACTGCCAATAGTTTAAATTTTTACTCCGTATACAGAAATGAATGTAATCATTGAATTTATATAAGATAACAAAGTTGTGCAATTAAAGTCGCGTTTGCATAAGAATTGAGAACAAATCATTGATGGTTCAATTCTATCAGATAAGATATTGCATTGCGTGGGTCATTTTTTTGTGAATTGAAAGATAATGTCGTTTATGGTACGGTCACAAGACCATAGCCCATAGGTTGCATGTGATTTTGGTGAAGAATAGACTTGCTCCAAGTCCCGCTCGAATTGGCTTCATTTTTTATAGAGTCTATCCAGTCTCTCATGAGATCAGTTTTATTTTCAATTGGGTCTACCAATGGGCACAATGGGATTTATCATGATATGAAAGCTAGGACTTGGATAGAATATCATTTTGAATTCAACCAGGCACCAGCCAGAATATTTATGAGATGAGATTTTAAAGTCTGTCAAAATTTCGGCAAATCGGGACAAGACATTTTAAATTAGCTGCATTATTAAAATTAACCAAATGTCTTTTCCAATTCCTATGTAACTTGAAAGATATAGCTTCCCACTTTTCTTCTGATGAGTTTTAGAACGTTTTAAACAGCCATCGTATCGTAGTATGATGTCATTAGTTATTCACGGGCAAATTTAACGGGGAGGACACTGTTGACAAATTTCTATTTAGTCAATGTTCATCCGTTCCCACTCAAACCCAAAATTGTTAGAACCTCTTCTATTATGTCAACAACATCACAGTAGCCAGGGTTTATTTTAAGAAAAATTTAGAACTGCACATATTAGGCATGTTACGAAGCATCACGGGTTTGACTGGGGGGTCAAAGGGTATTTGACTGGGTGGTCAAAGGGTATTTGACTGGGGGTCAAATGATTTTTATCTATATTTAACGTAAATTTATAGGTAACGTTGTAAGTTATGATAGACTCTTAATTTGCATATAGGTGGCAGAATAAAGGTGTTGTTGGGTGGGGCCAGACAAACTCGATTCTCGATGGGAGAGCTGCAGATAGGGGGTGTCCCCCAAATTTTGAATTTAGAGGCTCGTAAGTTATGGCAAAGATTTGTTTCACCCAACCACCCACAAAAACTGTTTCAAAACATGTAACTGGGAATCATGAATACTCAATATATAATAACCTTAGGGCTTAGGCAGCAAAGAATATTAGGTTCTCCCACTCTAATCTCTTTTGGATAGCTTAATTCGCTCGCCCCAATTTTACATCCTGTTCCATTACCCCAGCGCGTATGTGATTTGTGAGGAAAATATGAGGGTCTGGTGGTCCTCTCCCAGAAAACATTTAGATTATTGATGCTCAATGACAGCATTTCTGACATCTGGAGCATCCACAAGGAAAACGAGTAAAAGAGAAGACTGTTTTGAGGTTATATTTTCGTTAATTTGGTGACTGCACATTTGAGTTTTAAGAACTGCACAAATGGATTTAGAAGTGCACATTTTGTGTAGAACTGCACGTTAAAATAAACCCTGACAGTAGCTCTGTGGTGGTCACACAATATGACTACCATCCAGCGCTACTTTCAGATCAGTGGGAATATAAGACATTCCAACCACTAGACTTGCTCCAAGTCTCTCTTTGTGGACATCTATATATTGTACATGACAAAAGTCTTCCATACAATTTTTCAGGATGTCTTAGAATAAATATCCCTCTGTAGAAGACCTGGTTGAACGCAAACTTTCTCCCAAGTCGGTACGTCATGTAACGTACAATATAGATGTACAATATATAGATGTCCACAAAGAGAGACTTGGAGCAAGTCTATCCAACCACTGGAGGTAATAATTAGGGAGACTGTTCAGTGAGTTAAAAACATCTTCTGGGAAAGTAATAAAACTTTAGTCTTCTGTAACGGTATTTCCTGCAGTTTGAGAATAGAATGTTTGCACTCATTCCCCAGGGACCAACTCAACAAAGGCCATGGCGGCTATGTTGGTGTTCCAGACAAAAGAGTCATTAAAATTATTTTGAATTGGAACACCATAAATTTTCGAATGGAGAGTTGGAATGTTGTGATTTGGGTGAAGAATTTCCAAGTCCCGCTCGAAAATTTTAACGAACGACCGAGTGAAAATGGCTCTGGGGACGAGAATGCGTTCGAATTGGCCTCATCCAGCCGCTCCTTGCGTTATCAACAATATAGTATTGTAATTTTTTTTTTATTTATTTACTTTGCCATCATACTTATACATTCATTGGCTGGGAAACCACAACAGCTATTGCCAATTACAGCGGCCCCATTATCAACCGTTATCAGCAATAAGTTATTGGGTTGTAACTTGTAACCCTAACCTCTATCCCCCACCCCCTAAAGTTAAAGTTTGGTGAAGTTTGCCCAACCGCCACCCCGCAAGCCTCCACCTCAGTGGCCTCCACAGAGGATTGCGGGCTCATGGTTCGAGATTGATTGGCGCACGTGTTCCAAGATCCGCCATGTAAAGTGTAGTGAAATGTTTCGCATCGTAATATTAAATCCTAAGAAAACTCAAGCCTCTGCGGAGGAGAGAGGGTCTACCCAGTTTATCGGTTTTGAGGAGAATTGGGGGGGGGGGGGATTTGGAAAATTTTTCGGAAAATAAGTTACTGATTTATACCAATACTACTCCTTTTAAAGTTTTGTATTGCGTGCGCTGACAAGTAGCCTGTGTACAGCCGTTACTCTTGACGAGACGTGCAAGTATTAACGGCTGTACACAGGCTACTGGCAAGTTGCCAAACTTAGCTGAATTTTAACACGCCAATGCGCCAACAATGGCACAACCCACGCCGGATATCTCCAGAAAATTCTACATGGTCATGAATCAGTCCACCCTGGTTCCGCTGCAATTGGTATGGGGGAGGTGAAACTAAAGCGACAGAGTTGGGTGTACAGGTTTGTTGGGTGCTTAACGTCATGTAAGGAAAATATAGTGGCGCTTTTCCTTGGTAATCAAGTTTGTGAAGGTCAAGTTTATCAAGTTCGATGTCAAGTTCATTTGATCTTCATTTATATAAAACCACTTCATGATTGAAAGTGCCGTCTATGCCTTCAATTTCGTTGCATTAGTATTACATTCCAAACGTTTTATTGTAAACATGATTCAATAGTTTGGAAATATTCAAAGTTATAATTGCACCATGTAGTGTTTTTTTTTTGCAAAAATATTTGACGAGATTCCAGGCGCCCATTGGTCTAGAAGCACAATTCCTTGTTTTGGGTGTGTGTTTTTTACTGCAAAAGCCAAAATCAAAGCTATAAAAAACTACGTATCTGCTTAGAAATCTATTTTTTCAGTCTTTGCTCGCTATATTTCACGATAAAATATAAAGTTATATATTTAATACCAACCTTACAAGTTTGCAACATTTTAGAATGTCAATGATATTGACCGCAAAAAATTGTTTTTGAAAAAAAAATTTTCTACTTTACTTTTAAAAAATGTGTTAAAATGTGTTCAAAGGGTTGGTATTTTTCAAGTTAGTCTGCTTTTATATCGCTATTTTAACACAGACTTTTATAGAAGCGAATGTATTTTTTGGGGGTCATTTTTGAGAATATTTTTTTGTCCTTGACCGACAAGGTCAAGGTTGGAAATTAAAAGCCATTTGACTGGCTAGCCGGCATCAGTCTGTCTAGCGGCGCGAACCTCAGACTTCTAGTGTTCAACTGAAGACATAATTTGATAAAACGTTGGGGATTTCACAACGTTTTACTGTAGTTAAAGTGCTTTAAGACCTATTAATATGGCTGAAGGAGAATCGAAAAACATACCCGAAGTTATATCACGGACAGCCCAACACTGTGCCCAATGTACAGCGCACGGGCAAATTTCACTACTCAAAGGACACAAGAAAATATGCCCTTTTAAAGATTGTACATGCGTGCATTGTCTCTTGGTCAACAAAAAGAGGCAGATTATGGCAAAACAAGTAAAACTGAAACGCTTACAGGAAAAGAATCACGGCTTGAAGAAAGGGCGACGGCAACGAGTTGGAAAAAACCGCTCGACTTCAAAAGCCAAAGAAACTGAAGCTACGGAGACGCAGTCAGTTTCTCCAGAAAATAAAATTGGTAAGCTTTTTGAAGTATTTTATTGTTTGTAAATTCTTTTTCAGCTATTCTTGGCAGGATTTTACTTTATGCTTTTATGTAAAACTGTCATATTAACAGTATTTAAAAAGTATATTTATAAACACTTTTATATGATTTGAGACACGCAAAAACAGCAACAATAAATTCAATATTGCCACTTTTCCTTGCATCTCACTATTTCAGCAATCCATTTAGCCTCAAAAGTGCTTGAAAATATACGTTTACTGTCGTTTAATGGATTGTTTTAATATTAAAATGCAGTTTTTAAAAATTTTAGAAGATTATCAACATGTGGCAATGCAATTCCATTTTTTGCGACTCTGCGCAAATCTCGGCGCAAATAATGCTTATCCGGCAGAATTTTTTTATAACAGCAAGTTTTATAAGCGTGCTTTGGCGAGTTCCCACCAGAAATCGGCAAAAAAGACAATAACAGTTTTTATTAACAAATTGTGTTCATTTTTTGCCAAACTTCCTATCTTGACCTTCAGAAATTTAAATACATTGAAGCAACTGAAAAGAGACTAAGAGAGCAATTTATAAATAGGACCAATCTAAATCCAGTATAAAGTTTCAACCCATTGACACAGAATACTTAGAGGCCCACCAAGGGGTTATGACCGACAGGTGACCACCATCTCCGCAGAATACTCAGAGCAACAATCATATATTAATTTCCCTTATTTCCATCAAGTGTACCCAGACAACAGTGAAGTTTCTCAAGAGTTAAATGACATGCAGCAGTACCAAGAGGAGGCCTGGAGAGCAGTCTGTGGTTCAGAACTGCTAGACAACCAACTACAGTGCTCGACTGCCAACCAATGGTGCCCTGTCAGTCCGCTACGATTCTCACACGTCAACCCCTTACAACTGCCAACCACCCCGAGTTTCCTCCATCCGCGGTCGCCATCTATCTCCATGGCAACAAACTTCTTCCCATCTACTGTTCCCGATAAGGATATCCTCTCACTAAACCACATTCAGACACAGCCTGTCTATTACACCCCACCTGGGTTTGCCGTCAGCCTTGCACAAGACGCTCGGCTTCCACCATTTTCTGGTGATAGTTTCCTACCACTAGAAGTTGTGCCTATGCTCAGCAATGGCCACCCAATGGATGCTGCACAAACATTGCTTACGTTGCGTTAGTAACTGGAGAAGATTTAAAACTATTAAGATAGAACTGACTAATTGTTTTCATTTGTGTTGTTTGTACAAAGACTGCAAGTTTGAATTATTGTATTAAATTAAAATACTTGACAAATGGGTGTCACTTGACTAGTTATCGATCTGCAGATGGTCATTCAGCAGCCTGCAGAGTGAGAAACGGGACCATCGCTAGGGGAGTGTCGTCCCCCCCTGCTGAGAACATCTTGTTTGCAAAATGAAGGATTTTGCCCTTCCCCCATCGCCACATATTTCGGATAATTTGTCGTAAAAATTTTGACTTTTTTAAATTTTAACAGCAAATCGAATATATACCACACCAATTTTTTGATTTTACTAAAGACACGATTATAGACTCTTTCATAAAAAAAACGTCAAAGACAACTATGCTTCATTCTGGAAAGATCAAGTAAGAAATTCCAGAAAAATATCAATTTAAAAACACGAGTACAACAATACGTTTACTGTAAGTCGTTTAACGTTTTAATGCGTGTCATAAGTTTATAAAACGTGTTTCTGCTTCCCCATTCCCGCATTTCCCATTCCCGCATTTCCCGTGGCCGATTCACTATTCAGACCCCCCCCCCTCCCCCCCCTCGTCATTTCACAATAGCTCGGAATTTGTCGAATTGCATCGTACAGTACCGAGATCCCGACGGGAGTACCCGGGGCATTTCCGAATTTTAATTTTTTTACCGCGTAGAAGAAGCAGGAAAGAAAAATTGAGGAAAACGGAAAACTTATCAAACTTACCTTTATTGGAAGGTAATATGCTTTATTTAATATCAATCCTTGTAGTAGAGTACTTAGATTGCCAATATAGATGGAAATTTAGGACATCGAGCCCGAACTTAATGTGATATTTCGACATAAAGTTTGTGCTTTTGCTTTGCACGTGGTTCGCTTTATGGGCGATTGTCGAACTTTAAACCGTGTTTTAATTCATAATTGTTGACCAAGTGAGTAAAAAGACTAAGATCTAGAATTGTTTAAGTTGTCGAAAAAAGGTCTTATCTCGGAGTTCTTGCTGAAAATTTTTATATTATGGTGGGACGAATATTTCATCAGCTTGATTTTAACAATATTGTGTTTTTATACAATGTATTTGATAAGTATGCTAGTAAGATGAATTTAAAGTTTGTAGGCTGAGGGTGGTTTGAAAAGAAGATTGTTCTTTTGAAGACATCTACTTCAGACTCAAAAATATGCACTTGTAGTAGCAGTTTAAAGGGGGGGGAGGGGGGGGATGAATAGGGGTATACAAATCCGCCCAAATTTGAAGCAAAATCCGCGATCCAACAATGGTCTTGTCTAAATTTGAATCCGCTAAAAGCTCTACTATGAAGTCACAATCCAGGATTCAAACTAAATTGCAAGCTAATTAATCCACAATTATCCAAGCCAAAATATTAGATAAATCCGCAATCTATTGTATTAATAAGATCCACAAATCTGTGTAAAATATTTGCCAGATCCGAAATCCGAACAATTCTTTTCTGTGAAATCCAACGGTCCAAAAACCTACTCACCCCCTCCCCCTTTTAAAGCTTTCTTTCGACATAGGCTTGCTAGGAATGTTCAGTATGAGAAATTTTCGGTATCGGTATACCGAAAAAATTATACCAATATTATCGGTATACCGGTTTTCCTGAAAGAAATTTTGAGTAATTCTAAAAGGGAAAACGATCATTTTGAAGCTGTTTCGAACATGTTTCGAACGACACATACGCAGTGTAAAATCTCACTGAAGTGGAAATTCTAAATCATTGCAGTAGAAAGTTCTTTGAATTGCCATTCAGTAGTAAAATAAAGGTTATGGTTTCGCCATATAGTCGATAAATTTAACACGGTATACCGAAAAATTCCAGTATATCGGAAATTTTCGGTATATTGGAAATATCGGTATGGTTGAATATCCGGTACCGATATACCGATATTGATTTAATACCGATATTTTTAGTATACCGGTATACCAAATAGTCCTAAGGCTGGCAAGGATTTAGAGAATGCTAAAAAATAAAAAGGACAGTATTTGTTAAATTTAAAAGCATATTAATTTGATTTACCAGTACAGCATTTCCAATTGGTCGGCATTTTTTGGATAAATATTGAACATTACAAAAATATGTGGTGAAATGAAACCTGTTTTATTTCCTGAAAAATCAGGATAGGAATGTCGAATAATTTTCTTCAAATATTTTTTGGCTTGACATTTTTGTTTCAGACTCTGATGTTCATATTGTGATTTTCATCTCACTAGCCAAGCTATTCACACCCTCAATAAAATTCTCATAAATTTTTGTAGATGTACAGTGCAAGTTCCAAGAATGTCACAAGACCTCATGATTATGAAAAATGGACTCACATGACAGTCTAAGATCCTGAATAAGAGGTAAATTTTTAAATTTTTTTTTTTTTATTAACTTTACAATCATATTATATAAAAAATACACATACAGCTATGATTGAAGGATTGGACAACAGAACTAGAATCCCATACTAAGTCCATCCATCTAACACTAAAACACGACATATTACGGACTGCAAAATGGACAACGTAAATACTGATTTTACAGGCCTTTATACTATATAAAACATGCAAGAATAAATATACATAACTACACTACCCCACTGATTTTTCTGCTAATTATTTCTAACCTCCAATTTTGTATTTCTTGGACAATTTTCTTTGTAATATATGAATTTGTTTCATGTTCTCAATAGTAAATTTTTTAAATTTTCTAGATGTGTGTTGCAATTTCAAAGAATGTCTCGAAAGAATGTCTCGGATCAAGTTGTCGGCTGAAGTGTTATTGATCACAAAAATGAACACTGTCATTGGAAAGTATATAAAAGGTCTTAATATTTTCCTGTCTTATCTTACATGCAATGTTTTGAACATTATATGATTGCCTGTGATCAATAGTTTCAAAAATTCCAGCAGAATGTTGCAAAAATAGCATGACCATGTTACTTATGACACAAAATACAACAAAAATAATGAGCACAATCTTTGCACCTAAATATGGTGAATGCGCAATAATTGCACTCTTTTTATTCTATTATTACATCACTATCCACGGTTGCCACTGATCACAGAAACTCTATAATTTTCAAAGCATAAGCATTTTATGAGCAAGCCAGAAAATGACAAACTGTCAAAAATGTGATTTAACAGTAATGATTTGGTTTGGACATGCATTTTTTCTGTTTGACATTAATAGCTAAGTCTTAAAGTGCAGAATATATAAATTTGTGTTTATCTGTGTTCTATCTGAGAATATAGTTTTTTTTCTACATATTTCCAATGTTTTTGTCAAATATAAAAAATGAAAAGTTTGTCAGTATTTGGCCTTGTTACATCAGTTAAACATTGAGAAGATTGAAATGGTTTTTAAACTTATGTTCCATCTCAATCTTCTCTTGTTTAAGTGGACTTTCAGTGTTTGTTGAAAGTTTGGAAAGTTCATCTAAAAATCACAATGTTTCATTTGATGTTGATTCTGGATGTTATTTTGAGTCTTCATATATTAAATCTTACAAAAAGCAATTAATGATCAATTGAAGTATACAATACTTTTAAAATTAGCACTGTTAGAACTGCCTCGTTGTTTAATTGTCCTGTCTTGTTTATCCCAGCAGACTCTTAATACATGAGTTTGATTATTCCTGGACACAAATAAAATGGATTTGTTGAGGAACAAGGCAGTTCTATACAGTACTGAGTTATAGGAGGGTTGTGTTCTTCAGTTGTTTTTATTCTTGTGCCAACCACATTGTGGTTTTTGACGAAATTTGAATTTCAGAACAGATTTTCAGAACAAACTTTGTGATTTTAAAAATAACTTTCCCAACTTTAAAACAAACAGTTAAAGTCGAGATAAGCTTGGATATTGCCTTTACTTCATTACAAAGTGGAATTTATTTGAATATGCATGAACTGAAGCAGCAAACTATACTTAATTTGGGGAGTAATGTGAGATAGAGAAAATAAAATAAAATTGATTATCATGCATGGCAAGGAAAACCACAACCAGACTACAGGATGATGTTCTTTGGAATATGTTTTGTATTGTAGGGAAGAAAAACAATCGAATTCAAAAATATATATTAATTGTTTGGTAAAGCAATCCAATACTTTCGGAATATTGAGGCTGAAGATAAGATCGACAGTTCTTTGTGCTATGTGTTAATCAACGCATAATTTGATAAGATTTGAATCAAAATTCAATTCTATTTTAAAATTGTATTTTTATTTAAATAATCTGACATACTTATTTAAGTGTGAATTTTTTTAAGCATATTTTATTTCGAATCAGATTCAATCAATTAATTTCGTACTTTGGTTTAGATACTAAGATTTTTAAAAAATTTTATTGGTTCGTTGTGGTTAATAATTGTTTGGCAATTAAAAATAATTTGTTAGTTTTCATTTGTTAGTTGTTACATATATTTCTCTTGCTTCAGTTCAACATTCTTTTCAAATAGTTCCACTTTGTAATGGTGTGTTATATTTAGTCATAATAATAATATAAGCAAACAGGTTTACATGGCACTCGAACATGGTCTTTTCAACGAGTATGCAAAGGTAAGTTTATACTTCAAAAAGGTCTGTTTTAACCTGACAAGAATGCTGCCCAAAATTAATGAAAACTCAATCTTTGTGACTTCCAATGAAATTTCATATGTTGAATTGACAACTGCTACTACTGTATATGTCTTTTGATGTTTGTGTTTGGTTTGCTGTTGATACTAGAAATTGATGAAAATGCAATATAATATTTTGTTTACAAGTTAAGAGAGAGATTCTTAGGATGTTTATGGAAACTGATTGAACATTGAGGACTTTGAGCAAAACTGTTTGTCTACTTTTGAGTTAGCAAAGTATACCCAAAACTTATTTCCTGTTTTTCATTATGCAAAACCGTAAGCTCTTTTCCAATTGAAAATTTTTTATTTTGACCAATATAAATAAAAGTGAAAAAAAAATAAGAAAATATTTTATGAAAATTTGGAAGTTTGGTTATAAACCATATTTTGGGGTGTTTCTGTACATGGTCGCTACATGTTTTACATCAAAAATATTTCCTGAAGTATTTTTTAAAATATATAGATAATATAAAACAGGACAACTTTTCCCTAAGTTGTTAGGAGATGTTTGTTTGTAAAGTAGTAGATCAATGTCTATCATTATTTGTTGAGGACGAAAAATGTACCATTTTCTTAAGCAAAGCAAATTGAAACTGAATTTTGTTTGAAAAATCAATCCGAATTGGAGAAATAACCTCTTTTAAAATTTTGTTGAACTGCATTTTCATCACTTGAATTAGTATTAACATTATGTATAATCAATTCAAAGTTGTCAGGCTAAAAACGACGCTCAAAGATATATGGCTCCGAAAGACTGCAAGATAATTTCAAATTCTCAAATATTTCTTGTTTTGGCACTTGAAAGAAATGTTGGTTGTATTAAAAAAAGTATAAAGCATGTTCGATTTACTTCGTCTTTGAGCCATATATTTTCTTGGTAAAACAACGTGGTGTTTTAATACGCCTTTGGATTTCTCCGTCAGACTTGTAAAATTTATCATTAGAGTTGTTTTACAATATTTGAAGTATAAACATTTATCTTGAAAAGACCAGGTTCTCTTGTTGCCTCAAGAATTAACTTTTTAATGTTAATTTGCGGGCAAACAAGTTTTTAATGTTGTGTTTTCACTTGTGCTTATTCACTTGTGTTGAATACAATGTTAATTGTTCTCTTTATGCCATGTTCTGTTTTCTTCTATTGTTATTTAAATAAGTATGCAGTGGTTGTTCTCTTTTTATTGTTATTCAAATTGTAAACTTTACAAATTCTTTTCAATAAATTGTTCATTAATTATACAAGAGACTCCTTTTTAATTAAAAATTCAATTCCCATGGGAATTGAAAAAAAAAAATAAAAAAAATCCCCCTACCCCGGCCGGCTCCCCAAGTACTGCTTCTACTTCAAGCAGAAGTACTTCTACTATATAGTAGAAGTGCTTCTACTTAAAGTAGAGGTAGCACTCGGAGAGCCAGCCGGGGTAGCGAAGAGAAGACCAACCTTGCAAATGCAAAATAATGCAAATTGCTAAGTCGATTTTCTCTTGAGAGCAGCCACGCGCATACCTGGTAAATGTAAAACAACAAGCATTAGTAACAAATACTCGATATGCAAATTTTGAATCCCATGGCCGAAATGACAAGTGCCCCCCACTGATTCCTACCAACTGCCTACCTGCCTCAGTCCTAAGCTGTCTGCCTCGGTCCTAAGCTACCTGCATTCCATTCGTAACTTCCGCTTTCCTCACCATCACACAGACACTCACAACTGCCCAACCTGCCACCAGCCCGACTGCCCACCCTTAAAACTGAAGGAATTAAAATTTCGGTAATGTATACATAATTAATTTAATTAATCGGTATTTTAGGCCAAACGTAAACAGATAACTTAAAGTTGACGATTAAGAAAGACCGCGTATACAAACAGGTGAGTTTCTTACTTGCCTCTATTCATGAAATTTACATAGAAAATATACGAAACCTCAAAATATGAAAGCTTTACTAGCAGACTATAATTTTAGTTTAAATAACGAAACTCGACAAATTTTGGTGATGTTTGGAAATTAGTCCTTTTGTTCAGAAAAGATATATTTTCTAAATATTGCTGTCAAAATTTTAATTCCTTCAGTTTAACCTAACCCCATGCATCCTATACACACGGCGCACACTCTCGCACTCCATACATTTAGCTAATAAATTACGTTATAAACAGAAAAGCAAAATAAAAAGATAAATTACGTTATCACTAGCTATCCTATAACCCACTTAGACTGAGTTTTGGATTCTGGTTCGAAAGGTAAAATCTTAACTGAAAGGGCATGGGCTTGAGTTTTGTTAACTGGTCCGAAATAAATACAAACCTTAAACTTACCTAAATGAAAAGCTTGATTAAATAAGCATGAGAATGCATATAATTATTTTCAAAACTTTTTCATAGGAGTTTAAAATCCAAACGAAAATTACTGTTTGCCTATGTAGTTCAAACAGATCGAAACAGACTTAACCGCAATTCTCATACTCATTTAACCGGAACGCCTTGATGTCATTTGCATGGCACGTCGCAGCTGCTCTCGAGTAACAAGATACTTATCATATTTAATCAAAGAGGATTCATTATAAATTCAAATTTCCACTATGAAATCAACATCAACATGAAAACAAAGCATAGCATATTCCCCTGGGAATTGAAAATACGGAAAAAATAAAATTGCCAAATACCTTTTGCTTGCGGAAAATTAAAAAATTAGCATAAAAACAAAGTATAGTATATTCCCATGGGAATTAAACACACGAAAAATAATCCACCAATTCTTAACTTTTTAACGCTTGAAATAGCCCTGGTTGCTTGTTTTCATCGTATGTTTTTTTAATTGTGAATATAGACTTATCCCATAGTTAACAGGATATAAACATGATCTGACAGTGATTTTATTGTCAACACCAACAATGCTTGGTGCTATATACTCCAAGCTATGTTTATTTTAACATTAACTATGGGTGACGCGGATTAATATTTTGTTTTCAGAAAAGAATACAATCGAAAATATTCCAGGCAAGATTTCGTGCTTTTAAGGTATTGTTGCTTCGATCTTTTTTATACAAACAGTCCTCTCTACCATCAATTTTGGAAACTTTTTTGTTGTTTTCAAAAAACTTTTATGAAATGATATCTTACCATACAGACTCTAGATCGTCGCAAAAACACTGCGTTATCGCATTTTTGAAATTTTTACCCAAACGTTTGACCTAATTTTGAGGGCAATATATTATTTCTATACTCCAAAAATTGGAAAACAAAGTCGAAAAATTCGCCAAACTCGTAGCATGTTTAATTTCAAATTTTTCAATGAGAAACTCATTGTATTCACTTGAATCCCCTTTGATCTTTAAATAAGTATTTTGTCTTTAACTAACTTACATTGGTAAAATTTTTTGCTACTTTCATATTAGCTGATATTGTGGTTTCCGATTGTTGCGATCGTCATTCTTTTCTTGGCTCCATGCCATTCGCGAGTGGCTCTTTCTGGTCTTTTCATCATCTCTTTCATCACATCGCCTTTTGAAATTAAAAAAGTATCCATGAGTCCATGAAATAGAGTGAATCATGTTATTAAAAGGCTCGAGTAATATTGCCAGGATTTTTTTATCAGACTATTCAGTCCTCACAATTTTACCAAATTATCGCAGACAAAAAATTGCCTCGACATTTTAGGCTTCGGCCCCAATTCAACGGCATTTATTGTCCCATAATAACAATTTGGAATTGCGTGCATGTAATATTAATTGATCATTTAGAACATGATATATTGATGTAATAATGTCGCTGCCTCATCCCCAGGCGCTAATAAAAAGATTTCATGCGAGTCAGTATACGAATGGTTTACATGAAGTAGTGCGTCGCGACCAATGGTCGCGACTAACAACGCTCAAATAAGAACGCTCATATCCCATCCTCCTTTGCGCGCTTATGATGTACGCACTACTTCATGTAAACCGTTCATATAGTGACTCGCATGAAATCTTTTTATTAGCACCTAGGAATCAGGCAGATAATGGCGATGATAGCCTAGATCTAGCTAGGCCCTTTACTCAGTTGGTTTTGGCAACTTTTGGTTAATTTTGGGCTAGTATTTGTTAAGTATTACATCACATGCATTTGCCATCCTCCAGATCGCCCATAAAGCGCGTGGGACCCAATCTTCTCGTGTGAAAAAGCACGGAAATTTAAAATAGAAGGTCAAGGTGCCAGTGGCGATTCTTTTACGTTTTAATGATCTTAAAAACTGGCGGCCATTTTGAAAACATGTTTCTAGTCCATCCCTTTAGCCACGACCTTGCCATCACACGGTCACCCATTACTTCTTGTTGATACAACAGAAATATAGGAATTTTGTTTGCGCATGCGTCAAAATTCGCGCGGTCAACGGACAGGAGATCTGGGGAGGGTAAACGTAACATTTGATTTTTGAACGTTTTATTTGTTTTTTGGCCTAGTTTTTTCCAATGACAAAATATTGTTATTTAATGCTTCGTTGGGAAGCAGGGAAAGGTACGCGAAAGGTTCGGAAACAAAAAGTATAAAAATCAAGCTTCTACGTAACTTTATAAATCGGAAATCTTCGGATTGCGACGGAAAATCACGAATTTTACGAACGAAAAAAGGTCCAGTACATTTTTGCGAAATCTGCTGTTCACCAGGTTCGGCCAGAAAAGAACTCGGAAACTTGTTGTTTTAAAAATGTTTTTAAAATAATTTTTCGAATGCGCCTAAAATTATCGACCAGCGGCAGCGCGGATAAAATTCTTTGCATGTATTTCAAAAGTTTTATAACATCACTTACATCTATATTAATCAGTTTTGTATTTTCGTTGTTTCTGTTGATCGGGCATCGACGTTCTGTTGATGGATCCATGTCATCTACCATTCCTTCATCTGGCAATTCAATCGTGTATTGTCTTCTCTTGGATGATCTAGTTTTCTTCGCATTTGTCTTCTCTCCGTACAAGCTCGTAGGAAGCGGCTTGATGTAAAATTTCTTTTTCTAGTGAAGGATAAATAAACATTTATTTGAAACGGTTATTTTATTCAAAATTTTTGAAATAGTTTTTCGGTTAAAAATCGCTGGCATCATTTTTAATTTTCTCTTACCTTGATAAAACTTGTGTTACTCTCATCTTGGCGATGTTGTCGGATCTGTTGGTTGTAGGTCTTCATCTGAAATGAAAGGATATTTTCCATCAGTAACAAAATAGATTGAATATTTCACTACACATGTTATAGGAAACATTTACTTATACACTTTTAAAGATTCCTGGAATGCTAAAATTTCTTTAAATTTTAAGTACATAAAAGTCTGGGTGTAGCATATCACACAGAAATAAAGGAACAACTGAGTAACAGCGGCGGATACCGCGGGAGGCGCAAGTGATCACCTCTGTAACAATAATTTTTTAACCACGAATTTTTCAATCAAGCTATATGTTGTGTGATTTAAGGCAAAGAAGATTACATAATTGAGATTCCAGCTACAGAAGGTGGGTCATGTGATGTTGGCAATCAAATTCCCCCATTCCCAATATTTCACGGCGCGTCCGCTACGGCTGAGTAAGAATAATAGGGTGTAGCAATCGACATGAGTATATTTAAAAATATTTAAATTATTGCATAAACATTGCACCAGCAAAACTTACATTCACTGTATCTTTGCATCGTCGTTGCTTCTGTTTTGTTGCTCGCGGTTTTTCATTTCTGTTGATGATCCATCATGCATGCTCCGCTCAATTTACAGTGAACCACCATAAAAAAGGGGAAAAAATTCTGTTAAAAAGCGCATGCAACGATATGACTTAACGTGTTATAAAAATACAAAATCCGTGTGAAAATAAAATGCGGTGGCATACCTAATGAGTAAAAAATAAATATAATTCTCTTAATATATTGTAGAACATTAATAACAGTACACAAACCGTACTTTTGCATTATCTTCGACGTCTTCTACTACTTTCTCATCTGCTTGTTCCTCTTTGCTGCGCTTTAATTGTGTCGTCCAGTTGTTGCCTTCATATCACGTACTCTACCAAAAAATATCCAATAAAAATTTTAGGAAAATATTTAAAAAGAAATGGCAAGAGGAAATTTTACGATGTAGGGCAGACTTTTTGAACAATTGTTACTTGGTGAAAAGCTAGTATCATGGGCATGTAATCCAGCAAATATATGTGTTCACTTACAATGTTTAAAAATGCGCATAAAGTTCGCATGTCTTTGCTATTATGTATGCAGACTCGCATGATTACGTCATTGTTACACACATTAAGAGGAGATTTTTTTGTATGTTGCGTAACACGCGCTCAAAACTAATGCGTATAATATACCACTTGTGGTTATGACTAAATTCAAAATTTTTCTTTTTCGATACGTTTCTCAATCGGCAAACGAACTTAAAAAGTATGTTTAGTACTTTATCTGTAACATAATGCTAAAACGAAGAGATTTTAGATGACACGCCAAAGAGAAAATGATGTCTGAAGTTCAGTAAGTTTTGCTTATATGGCTGCAAATATGGCGTCAATTTTAAAGCATCATTGATAATTGTATTTTAATTGACAATTTTTAACTATTATTTTATGTTTCTCAACCGGCAGATGCATTTAAAAAGGTAGCTAACTGTATAAACTAGAGAATAAAGCTAAAACAAAGTAATTTTGAGAGGAACGCCAAAAAGATTTTAGGTTTTGAACACTTTTCATTGCAAATACGTGACATTGAAAAAAATTGGCTCTTAATCCATTTAATACGGTCGTTTGAAACAACAAAAGTAATGCATATTTGTGAAGAAAAAAATCCGATACAAAACACCTTGGGGCTTGGACATACTTTCTGTATTTGTTGATACTTTTTGGAGTTGAAAAAGTTTTAAAGTGCTTCAATTTCTTCAATAAAACTTTTTTTATCGAAATTATGCTGTAGATGGGCAGGATATGCAAATTGCTTGACAAACGTCATCATCGGAAAACCATCGGTTTATTTCCTATTGGCTGCTGAAAAATCGAAAAATTCCGAAGTCCATTGACTGCAGTATATTATCTTCGGAATTTTCCGATTGTTCAGCAGCCGATAAGAAATAGGCCAATGGTTTTTCTGATGATGACGTTTGTCAAGCAATTTTCATCCAGGATATCTACAGCAAACTTTCGATGAAAACTAACTTTTTGTTGAAGAAATTTAAACACTTCTAAACTTTTTTCAACTCTAAAAAGTATTAATAAATTTAGAAAGGTGTTTCATATCATAGGAGTTTTTCCCCAGAAATTTGCAATAACTTTGGAAAATATATCGAAGGTGTTTTTTCTCCAGAAATTTTCGTTGATTCAAGCGACCTTATTAATGTGGTGTGTAAATGTCCAGATGATCTTGATACGCGGAAAAGTACTGGCACTAGTTGTCAAATAGAAATCCATTTTATGATTAAAACAACTGAATATCTCCTGTAATATACTTTATTTCGATTCCATATTTTTGTCAGAGCTATAGTTCACATAGCCAAACATAATTACAAAATTTCAACTAGTTTCATAGAGAATAACAAAAGATATAATTGACTGAATAGATCAAAATGGATTTCTATTCGGACAACCCTTTCTGAGCGCTGATTGGGTAAAATACGAACACGAGATCACCTGGGTATTGTGTCGAAGAGTTGCCAGCTTAGGATATTATACCATATGACAATACATTGACGTAACCGTACGAGTCTGCATTGCAAAGTCAGACGAACTTTATGCGCATTTTTAAATTTTTTAAGGCATTTTTAAGTGAGTACATATATTTTCTGGGTTGCTTATACTAGTATCTAAACTATTGAAAATAATTTTTGAAGAGCATAATTTTTTTAACAAAAATGACGTCATTGTTGTTGCTATAGTAAGCATGGCGTTTCAGTATGGCCGATGTTTTGCTTTTGAACTAATTTTAAAAATTTTTTTATTTCGTTAAAACGTTCTTAATTCCTGAAAATAAATGAATTAGCCATCTTTTGAGAAAGGTCGCCAGTGTAGAAACTTTTTAATCACAAAAAACACGTTTTAAATTTTAAAAATCTACATTAGCAATTTTTTTAAAACTTGTTAAATAATTATTTTCACTAATCGAACGATTAACAAAATAAAAAAATTGGGTCACCGTTCTTTTTTTCGAATTAAATTAGTTTAAATCCAAAGAAAACTGGCCATATTAAAACGTCATGGTTACCACAGCAACGGCACTGACGTCAATTTTAATAAACATTTTATACTTTTCCTATTCAACAAGTAACAATTGTTTAAAAAAATCCACCCAACATCGTAAATTTTCCGGCTGAAAAAACAGTAGGGAGCCACCTTAAGCCAAAATATGTGCCATATTGAAACGTCATCGTCGCCATGGCAACAAAAGTTTTGGGAGGCGTTTATTTCACTTAATTTTCATCTATCAGACATCTATCAACTTCTCAGATGGAATATATCGTGTAAATTAATTTACCAGGGGAAAAAACAACTCACCATTTTTGCTGTTCACTTTATTTAGCCATGCACGGTTTGTCTTGGCTTTGATAGATTCACTACAGGAAATTAAAAATAGCTCATTAATTACTATTTTTAGATATATTCAATAAAATAGCGACATTTTACAGATAAATTAAGGCGTTGTTGTGCATGGGGGGACCTGTAATATAATTTCAGGGTGGGTGTGTGAATTTTTTATGTTACAGGGTTATATTTAGGTGAAAATTTGCAATGGACGACTACTCTATCAATTTGATAATAATTATCATGTTATTATATTGAAATGTATGCAATGAACGTATTTTTAGGTAACATTTTTAAAGAAAAAAAAAGGATAAAATGTTAAATGAGTTAGTAAAAAGTAAAATAAGTAAAACGTAATAGCTTAATACATTAAGAGTAGTTATATAATAACTTACAAGGTAACACATATAACATATTGTTGACTTTGAACACCATTGAAGCAGTTTCGTTTCATTTTCTTGATTGGAGAAGAAGACGTCCGCCATCTTGTCTTTGACCACCATGATTCAACTTTGAAATTTCTCAATAATTTCTTCATCATTTCTCTTCCAATTTGGCCCAAAATTTAACAAAACGTCCATTATGGTCTCGTCGCAATTTCTGTAGCATTTAATTGACTTATTTCTTTTTATTTTGGCAGAAAATAAAGAATTTTGGCGTGGTTTTCAGATGTTTCGTTCCTCGAAGCCATGCTGTAACTGACGTCACAAAGCATTGATTCATGGTATATATATCCCGTATGTACAAAATTGAAGTTTCTGTATTCCTGTTTACGAAGCTTTAAAGCTTAATTTCTATCTTAAATTGAGGGTTTTTAGCCACAACTTTCAACTCAGATATTTCTTATACTTCTTTCCTTTATATTTCATTTTTTATTTCGCTCAAAAAACGCTCCTGAAGAGCGTTTGGGCGTGTTTTTTTTATTTGCATGCTAATGAGTGCGGAAAGACATGTCCGATTTGTCGGTTGAGTTTAACTTTTCCTCCGTGGCCGAATGGTAACGGCAACTGTATTGTGAAAAGCCACGCCCTTTGGTGTTTGCTGTGGATCGTCCCTCGCTTGCGACAACACAGGGACGAACCTAAAGGGTGTGAGTGACTCTCGAAAACAGTTGCCGGTACCGATAGGCTACTGAAGGAACGTTTAAACCTGCAGTAAATTTCTTCTACTTAATCATTTACCTTATGCTTGCCAGCCGGGGACCTGCATTTCGGGGGCCACCCAAAACAACAAGCTGCCGTGCAAGAAGGGCAATACAATTGCAGTGTAACACTACAACTGTACTGTCCTTCGTGCACGACAGCGAGTCGTTTTGGGCTAAACAACTAGATTTGTAGGACAAATCTAGTCGTTTTCCAAAAAACGACTAGATTTGTCGTACTATATAGGGCCGATTTCGTTGCAATGATTGTGGTGCACTATATTTTCTTGCTTCTGCGCAGTCGTATCTTGTTGAATAAAGTTGTATATGGTACTCAAAATTTGTCCTTGAAAGGACCATGTATTCTTGCGTGGTTCCGGGTTAGATTCCCAGAGCATTTTATGTACTTATATACAACTTTCTTAGCGCAACTCCATGCAAGCTATGGAGAAGCTTATGATGTAAGTTATCATGGCCGACATACCAATGACAGTAGTTTTATATAGAAGATGAAATGTATAATAAACCGCAAGGTTTGTTACTGTTACTGTACCAGGAATTGACCGAATACTGTTGTAATCACCCAGTCACAACAACGTAAAAGTTATGGCTGTTTCTTCCACATGCAACGAAGCTTTAAATGACATTGTCAACAGTTGTCCTCGATAGATGTCATTTATGAGGCATTCGGTTTAAGATTCCCAGAGCATTTTATGTCCTATACACAGCTACAATAGTACAACTCTATGTATACCATTTCGCAACTTACGATACAACTTATTACGGACGATAAACTAATAATTGAGAACGAAGTTTGCATGAAGCTACAAGGTTTAATCTTTGGATAGGAGGATAAGATAATATTCCGGAGCATGTTTCATGTGATATTGATCCGTGACAAATTACAAACTTGAGTTTTCGAGCATGTAAATCTTTAAAAGTACGGTAAAGCTAGACTATACAGGTATAGTTAAATTTCAATATGAACACTCGTAGTTCAACTCCATGTATACCATTTCGCAACTTACGATACAATTAATTATACGGACGATAAACTAATACTTGAGAACGAAGTGTGAATGAAGCTACAAGGTTTAATCTTTGGGTAGAACGATAAAATAGTAATTCGGAGCATGTTTTGTGTTATATTTAATCGGCGCAAATTAGAATACTTGAGTTTTCGAGTATATGCCGGAGGCCGTTTACCGCAAACTCTGTATAAAAGTAAAGTTGGACCTATCTAAATTTCAAACTGAACACTCGTTTTACTCCAGATGCTTATAAACTCAAATGTCTCATAAAAGCCTTAGATACACATTACACCGTAGTTTACTCCATGTATAATATTGTCTTTAAAGTAAAGCTATACTATATAGGTATAGTTAAATTTCAATATGAACACTCATTTTATTCGAGGCGTTTAGTTATAACGCTTCGAGTAAAATGAGTGTTCATATTGAAATTTAACTATACCTGTATAGTCTAGCTTTACCGTACTTTTAAAGATTATACATGCTCGAAAACTCAAGTATTGTAATTTGTCACGGTTAGATATCACATGAAACATGCTCCGGAATATTATCTTATCCTCCTATCCAAAGATTAAACCTTGTAGCTTCAAGTTTGTAGTTTATCTTCAAGTTTGTAGTTTGTAGTTTATCGTCCGTAATAAGTTGTATCGTAAGTTGCGAAATGGTATACATGGAGTTGTACTATTGTAGCTGTGTATATGGACATAAAATGCTCTGGGAATCTTAAACCGAATGCCTCATAAATTACTTCTATCGAAGACACTGTTGACAATGTCATTTAAAGCTTCGTTGCATGTGGAAGAAACAGCCATAACTTTTACGTTGTTGTGACTGGGTGATTACAACAGTATTCGGTCAATTCCTGGTACAGTAAGAAACCTTGCGGTTTATTATACATTCCATCTTCGATATAAAAGTACTGTCATTGGTATGTCGGCCATGATAACTTACATCATAAGCTTCTCCATAGCTTGCATGGAGTTGCGCTAAGAAAGTTGTATATAAGTACATAAAATGCTCTGGGAATCCAACCCGGAACCACGCAAGAATACGTGGTCCTTTCAAGGACAAATTTTCAGTACCATATACAACTTTATTCAACAAGATACGACTGCGCAGAAGCAAAAAAATATAGTGCACCACAATCATTGCAACGAAATCGGCCCTATATAGTACGACAAATCTAGTCGTTTTTTGGAAAACGACCAGATTTGTCCTACAAATCTAGTTGTTTAGCCCAAAACGACTCGCTGTCGTGCACGAAGGACAGTACAGTTGTAGTGTTACACTGCAATTGTATTGCCCTTCTTGCACGGCAGCTTGTTGTTTTGGGTGGCCCCTGAAATGCAGGTCCCCGGCTGGCAAGCATAAGGTAAATGATTAAGTAGAAGAAATTTACTGCAGGTTTAAACGTTCCTTCAGTAGCCTATCGGTACCGGCAACTGTTTTCGAGAGTCACTCACACCCTTTAGGTTCGTCCCTGTGTTGTCCCAAGCGAGGGACGATCCAGAGCAAACGCCAAAGGGCGTGGCTTTTCCCAATACAGTTGCCGTTACCATTCGGCCACGGAGGAAAAGTTAAACACAACCGACAAATCGGACATGTCTTTCCGCACTCATTAGCATGCAAATAAAAAAAAACACGCCCAAACGCTCTTCAGGAGCGTTTTTTGAGCGAAACAAAAAATGAAATATAAAAGAGAAAGTATAAGAAATATCTGAGTTGAAAGTTGTGGCTAAAAACCCTCAATTTAAGATAGAAATTAAGCTTTAAAGCTTCGTAAACAGGAATACAGAAACTTCAATTTTGTACATACGGGATATATATACCATGAATCAATGCTTTGTGACGTCAGTTACAGCATGGCTTCGAGGAACGAAACATCTGAAAACCACGCCAAAATTCTTTATTTTCTGCCAAAATAAAAAGAAATAAGTCAACTAAATGCTACAGAAATTGCGACGAGACCATAATGGACGTTTTGTTAAATTTTGGGCCAAATTGGAAGAGAAATGATGAAGAAATTATTGAGAAATTTCAAAGTTAAATCATGGTGGTCAAAGACAAGATGGCGGACGTCTTCTTCTCCAATCAAGAAAATGAAACGAAACTGGTTCATTGGTGTTCAAAGGCAACAATATGTTATATGTGTTACCCTGTAAGTTATTATATAACTACTCTTAATGTATAAAGCTATTATGCTTTATTTGTTTTACTTTTTACTAACTCATTTAATATTTTATTCTATTTTTCTTAAAAAAATGTTACCTAAAAATACGTTCATTGCATACATTTCAATATTATAACATGATGATTATTATCAAATTGATACAGCAGTCGTCGATTGCAAATTTTCACCTAAATATAACCCTGTAACATAAAAAAAATCACACACACCCTGAAATTATATTACAGGTCCCCCCCCCCCCCCTTAATTTATCTGTAAAATGTCGCTATTTTATTTAATATATCTAAAAATAGTAATTAATGAACTATTTTTAATTCCCTGTAGTGAATCTATCAAAGCCAAGACAAACCGTGCATGGCTAAATAAAGTGAACAGCAAAAATGGTGAGTTGTTTTTTCCCCTGGTAAATTAATTTACACGATATATTCCATCTGAGAAGTTGATAGATGTCTGATGGACGAAAATTAAGTGAAATACGATGTTGGGTGGATTTTTTTAAACAATAGTTACTTGTTGAATAGGAAAAGTATAAAATGTTTATTAAAATTGACGTCAGTGCCGTTGCTGTGGTAACCATGACGTTTTAATATGGCCAGTTTTCTTTGGATTTAAACTAATTTAATTCGAAAAAAAGAACGGTGACCCAATTTTTTTATTTTGTTAATCGTTCGATTAGTGAAAATAATTATTTAACAAGTTTTAAAAAAATTGCTAATGTAGATTTTTAAAATTTAAAACGTGTTTTTTGTGATTAAAAAGTTTCTACACTGGCGACCTTTCTGAAAAGATGGCTAATTAACTTTATTTTCAGGAATTGAGAACGAAATAAAAAAATTTTAAAATTAGTTCAAAAGCAAAACATCGGCCATACTGAAACGCCATGCTTACTATAGCAACAACAATGACGTCATTTTTGTTAACAAAATTATG